AGTAAGTACTAGATGTGTAATCCTATTTTACCCTTCATAATAAGTAGAATGTTAAATAGGAGGAATGACAAAGGTATCAATTAAAAGAATTACTAGTAGAAATTCTACCAGTAGTGAAACAGAACTGAGAACAGGCCATATAATCTTGAGATACGTTAGGACAACCAACTATTTTAGAGAGGAAATAAGCAAACATTAAGAGCTGGACAACTGAGATTAAGGGTTTAAGACTAAGAACACAGACACACAGATCAATGGAATCACACTGAGAGCACAGAAATAAAATCACACATTTATGGACAACTAATATTTGACAAAGGAGCAAAATACATACACTGGAATAAGGAAAGCCTCTTCAGTATATGGTAATGGGGAAACTGGATTGCCACATGCAAAAGAATGAAACTAGATCATTATCTCACACCACACTGGAAAATCAACTCAGAATGATAGAAGACTTGAATGTAACACCCAAAACCCTAAAATACATAGAAGAAAATGCAGGCAAAACACTCCATGCTATAAACATCAGAAACATCTCTGTGGATTCATCTCCAGCAACAAGGAAAGCAATGGTGAAAATAAACAACTGGAGCTATATTAAACTGAAGAGCATCTATATTCAAAAGAGAGTGACGAAACAAGACACCCTACTGAATGGGAGAAAATATTTGCACGTCATACAACTGATAAAGGATTGATATCAAAGATCTACAAAAGTACTTACACAACTGAACAAAAAGAAAATAAACAACCCAATCAAATAATGGGCAGAAGAGTTAAATAGTCACTTCTCCAAAGAAGACATGCAAATGGCCAAGAGACATATGAAAAAACATTTGTCATCACTTATCATCAGGGAAATGTAAATCAAAACCACATGAGATATCACCTCACACCACTGAGAATGGGCCATATAAAGAAAGAACAGAAACAAGTCCTGATGAGAGTGTAATAAAAAGGAACCCTATTACACTGTTTGTAGGAGTGTAGACTGGTCCAGCTCTATAAAAATGTGAGGAGATTCCTCAAAAGTCTAAAAATGGATCTGCCATATGACCCATCAATTCCACTCCTATGTTTATAGCAGCACTACTTACAAAACAGCTAAGCTATGGACACTGATGAGTGGATCAATTAATTGTGACATATATACACAATGGAATACTACTCAGTGATCAAAATAGATAAACTTATACCAGTCATGGCAAAATGGATGGAACTGGAAGGGATTAATCTAAATGAAGTGAGACAGACAAAATAAATATTGGATGGTTTCACTTATATGTGTAATCTAGAGAAATCAAACAAAGTACCAGGTAAAGACAGACATGTAAGACTGACCCTAAAGCAGACAACAGATCTGACACATTTGGAGGAAGGGGTGAGGGGGTGAGAAGGAGAGTAGAAAATGGAGGAGGGGAGCATAATGGACTACGAATGCTCTGGTGGTAGGAAAATTATTGTGACCACACCTGAGTGGAGAAATTCTATACTGTGAAAATATAAACAAGGATATTAAAAAAATAAATAAAAATAAAAAAATGAACTGGAAAGTTTGATCATTATTATAGTAAACAGATCTAGAAAACAGGGATCAGGTAATTACATAAGAGCTTTTTGGGCCCCCAAAATATCTTAGAAGTCTTGTTTTTAAACCAAAGGTGAAAAGTGGTCTTCTCCCCAAAAGTTTTTTCCTACACACCAATCACTTCTCCCCATAACCAGGCACTTTCACTTCTTCTGCCGCAGTATGACATGAACCTGAGTCAGTCCTAATCTAAACACAAATTGGCTTGAACTCAATTTCTCACCTTTCTTTCAGCTCCAAAATACTCTGTAACTGTCATTTGCGAATTCTATATCTCATCATTTCTTACTTTTTTTTTTTTGTCCACTGTATAACTTTCAGCAAGTTAGAAACTCTTAGGCTATTTCCTCTTCAATGAAAATGGACTAATATGCTCTAGCCTCAGCATTATGCTATCTCATCTGTGCTACAAGAAACACACTGAACACAATGTATAGTCATTATATCTGAATAACCATATGCTGTTTTCTTGATTTTGAGGTTTGTACCTGGATTTTTTTTTTTCAATTAACTATAGGTATAGTCTTATACCTGTATAATGTGCTGGGGTATGTTTCAATGTATAAATCCAAAACACTCATAATGCTGATCATTGGCAGAAATCTAACATGTTAGCTTCTAATTTCTTTTCTTTGCTCAACAAGTAAAACAAGTACCTCCGAAGGAACTGGAAGAACAGTCTTGATGTGCATGTTGTTTGTGATTACTCAGAAGGAAGCAACCTCACCCAGTTTGGTTCTCTCTTCTTATCACCATGGCAGTCCTTGCTGACCTATCTTCAGGATCCTGTGATCTCTGTGCTTGTATGGGGAAGCTTTACCAGACCGTTTGCCTAGCTTACTCAGCATTCTCTTTTCAAAGGCTAACACTGGGTACATACTATGAAACACTGGGTACATACTATGAAAAACAGCAAAGCAAGACAAAACCTATTTCTAATCTGTGATTATCTCACATAATTCTATTTATATTTACCACAGATTTAAGCCAGAGCATAAGACTGGTTTACAGTTGTAAGTCATGCTATGAGCTTTAAAACTGAAATAATGGACTTCACACATATACATATTCCAAGCAAAATAAAACCTTTTAAGTAATTCTGGAAGAAATAATCTCTAGCTCTACACCAAAAGGAGAATTTTTGGAAGTCATCGTATATACAAATAAAGTGCCATCCACGTAAAGAGTTCATGATCAACACAGAAATGTTTCCTGTTACTCATTCTAAATGGCATGAGAAAGCAGAAAATGGAATGACTAAGTATTGTTTCTTTAATATATGTGTCTTATTAAGAGTAGTTAGAAGAAATGATAGATGAACCAGCATCTATATTTCTAATTTCTACTGTGTTGAAATCTGTTTTACTGCTTTAAGGGCAACTAGACATAGAAGGAAAGATAAACTCAAAAGGTTATGCCAAGTACTGACATAAATAAATAAATATTGCCATGCAAGTTTTAGATGAGGTACATGCTCTTCTTCGTCCTAAACGTTTTATTGTTACCCTTATTTTAGGTATTGCTGCCCTGATTTCCCTGGTTACTTCATTGGCTGCTTCCTCCATTGCTTTAATTCAGGAAGCTAAGACAGCTTCTTTTGTAAATGACCTTACCAAAAACGTGTCCATGGCGCTTGCAACACAGCGGGACATTGACTATAAGTTAGAAAAAAAGTTAAATGCTCTGGAAGAAATTGTTATTGCTATTGGCAATGAGGTTCAGCTTCTCAAACAACAACTGTCTACTCGTTGCCATGTTCAGTTTCGTTTCATCTGTGTTATGCCTTTACATTATAACTCTTCCTTACATTGGAATCTCACCAAACATCACCTATTGGGCATCTGGCATGACAATGACCTTTCTCATGACCTTTCGTCTCTCCAAGCTGAAATTTCTGCTGTCAGCAAGTCTCATCTGCACACTTCAGTCTCTTCCTTTGCTCATTCTCTGGCTTCTACCCTCCAAACTCTGACTCCTACTTATTGGTATCATCTTGTCTTCTCTTTCATTGCTCTTTCCCTACTTGTCCTTCTCCTTTGTCTTTTTATTCCACTCTGCATTCGTTCCCTTCACAGGTCCATCCATCGTCTTCAACGAGACATGTATGCCTTCCAGCTCCGTTCTAAAAACAAAGGGGGACCTGCTGCACCTCCCCCTGCAGTGACCTTTAGGGCTAATGGTTATCGCCAAGGTCCCTAGGTCCGGCTGGGCAAGGAACCAGCGCGCAGGGGGAGAACAGCAAAACTCCCTAAAGCAGGGGAGTACATCAAAGTTCCCTGAAGACATGGATAAGACAGAAGCCTATCAAAGGATTACGACCACCAGGAGCTAAAACCTTATCTCGTCTTTCTAGAACTACAAACTTTATCCCTTCATTGTCTTTCTAAAACTTCCTTCTTTCTTCTATAAAGGTCATTTGTTGTTAATTAAAAAATCATATGAAATCCTTAACACAAGGCTGACTCAAATGAAACGTTACTAAACCCTGTAATAATTAAAATATAGTATAAGTGAAAAAGTAGCTAGTAAAACAAAAAATGCGATCATATAGCTTAAAAACAAAACTAATAGATTATCTACTTAAGAAAGAGGCTAGGTCCAGATGTAAACCACTCAGCGATAAGCTAAATCCATTCACTGCTCCTGTATATATACTGGCGACTAACTCAAATAAAATCGCACTCAGATTTACACTCTCTCTTGAAGTGTGTCTGTTTGTCATTTCTTCAGCCGAATCCCTGACCACCTGCTGCGCAGTCTCTCAACCCTGAGACGGCCTCATCGTTCACTGCTGTGCTGGTCCGCGGCATTGGACAATGATGTGTCCACAGCTATTTGAAAAATCACAAAACCAGGAAGGGCCTAAATATGAATAGAAAAGAAGACACCACTCCCATAGTTCATATGAACAAATGCTTTGAATATGGGTTTGGCCCCTGCTAATTAACCATCTAGTTGCACTCTCTACCAAGGTAGCCAGTAGCCATATGGTGCTACTTAAATAAAGTTAATTAAAATTAAATAACATTTATTTTTTTATTTCCTCAGTTCCACTAGCCACAATTCAAGTGCTCAGTAACCACACGTGGTCAATGGCCACCTCATTGGATAGTACAAATATACAACATTTACAAGGTTGAAGAAAGTTAGCACTGATGTAGACTGAAACAACAGTCTCTAAAAACTACAGACTTATGAATTGCCATTTATTTACTAGGGTTTCCAAGACATTTGAAACTTGATAAATATTGCAGCAGTAGTTTGAGATAAGGTAACCACCATGTGTCTCAAATTTTGATGTAAGAAAAAAACCAACCAAACAAAAATAACCCACATGTTAAGTGTAGCCAAGACATTGCTGCTTTCTTTACACGACTATATATACTTATACCTGTATCTTACCACTCACCGAACTTTAGCTGGTTCTGAGCTGAGTGGAGCAATTGAGCCACCTCCCATTTGACACCTGTAAGGAAGAGAGTAAACTCTCTGCACCACCACTCGCACTCCAACTCCTGACCATGTGCCAGCTCCCTGCATCTCTACTGCATCCAGGAGAGAGTCCCTCAGGGGAGGTTGGGCTGGGAAGTGTTGTTTTGCTTCTCTGTGCCTGTGGGTCCAGTCTTTCCCCATGATGGTGAGCCCACTACACATAACCTATTCAAGACACACAAAGGAACATTTTCAGCTTGACTCATGATGGTGTGCTACATACCAAATAATAACCTTTTTAGGCAATCCTTTGATGTAACTGCTGAACACTAAAGGAATGATGAAAATAAGAAATCAAATCCATGAAGTAGAACTCTATGTATGCCATGCAGCTGGTGAGGAGGTCTATGAGCAGGAGTGACAGGGAAAGTGCAAAGAGTGTTTTCTGTCTCTGGAAGCCTAGACCATTTTGGGTCTTTGAAAATATGGAGGAAGTCCTGATATTAAAATACCTCATGGTAATTTAGAAATATTTTCCTTTATGATACAGCAATTCCAAGAGGACAAATTAAAATACAAAGTAAAAGAATCATTAAGGTTCAATAAGAGTCATATTATTAAATGCTAGTTAAGTTTTGGCTACTAGCATAGTTGCTTTACCATGCTCATGCAGTCTCCTAGCAATGCTTCAGAATAGTATTAATTATCACAATAACACTTCTAGAGTACTTCCTATATTCCAGGTACTTTTCTTTATATACTGTGCTTACATAATAAACATATTAAACCTCACAATTACCCAAAGATGTAGATTATATCATTGTCACAAATTTACAGATAAGAATAATGAGACAGAGATAGTAATTATCCTGACTAAGGTCACCTAATAGGAAGTGGATGGAGCAGAATTTAAACCAAGGCTCTCTTAACTATACTCTAGTATCATTGTTATGTGTGTGAATTGAAAATACAAGCCATGAATTTGACATAATAGCACATTGCTGTTTAAAACTATATATTTAAGCAATGATGTGCTTTGAGCCATATTTTAAATTTGTCCCAAATCAACTGATAAGAGAACCTTCCTTATTTCATGATCCCCCAAGAGGCTTCTTCTGATAATCAAGGGCCATTCTGTTTGATTAAACAACATATTAAAAAAGTGTAAATGTGGCTATTTTTCTATCTTTCTTACTTTTTCTCACACTGTCAGTGCTGACTGATTTGTGTAACTCAGAGGCGCTGAGCAGGTATACAGGGAGTCACTGGTAACTAGAACTTGAAATAATAAAAAATAACTAGAACTTGAAATAATGGGATTGATCTCTTGATCTGGCAGATGATGGCCTTAGGAACCCTCAGGAGGAAATGCAGGGAGTGAACAAAGACTAGCAACAGGCTCAATGAATGCCCAGACATTAATATAATTGCCTTCATGCCTGCTGGAATTGAAGTTTAGTGGTTTCCTAAACTTATCCTGGCAGACAAGCATGGCTCAGGGCCAATAAAATTCCAAAAACGAATTTTTACTGTGTAAGCTGAAGTTTATACAGTTCTTTTTGTTCCAAGATAGATGTGAAAATGACAAATATGATTTTTTAATAAATTAGAGAGGACTTAAAAAATTCTTAGATACTGATGAGAACAAAAAACCCCTCAAACATTAAAAAAAATTAAATATTTTAAATAATTAAAAAAGTAGAAATTAAAAATAAATTATTGGAAAGATAAAATACTATAAAATGACCATAACCAAATACTGAACTGAACCACAATTTCTCCAGGCATAACAACAAGATTCTTCAGCATACATAATTGCTATATATTTGGAAGGAGACCAAAGGTAAACATCTTCACTTACACTGAAACCCTTTCAAATCAAGTATTACTACAAAGCAGAAAACCTTTAAGCCAATACGAATTTACCTGGCTTTCAAGTGAATCATTCATTAGACTCTTGAATCTAAACATCTGGGCCAAAGTGATATTTCTTCTTTGAAGGGGTGCGCCCCAACAGCGCATTTCATGTGTTGTTTTTGAATGTTCTTTGGCAACAACTTTCTTACAAAAGTAAGTATTCAGGATAACAGGATAACTTTCATTTGGTATAATAAGCTTCTGCCTGGAAAAAAGGAATGAAATTTGTTAGTTTATTTGACATGTTGGATTCCCCTCATGTTCTTGTTAAATCAAGAATACAATCAATGGGGACTCCTTTGTGGCGCAGTGGTTGAGCACTGAGCTGAGAAGCTGCCCACAGCCTCTGCAGCACTGGTTCGATCCCCGGCCGCTGGCGAGTCCCACATAGTAGGCAGACCTCGCCTGCCGCACCCACTGCTCCCCTCAGCAATGTAATTCGTCAGTCTACCTGTTCTGTTCCCTGCTCTGGCTCTGGTGAATTCTCTCACCCTCCTACGCTTCTGACTGTACCCAGTGCTTTTATAAACAAATAAACAAATCTTAAAAAAAAAAACAAAAAAAAAAACAATCAATGACTCGCCTAATTTGGACACGTAAAACCAAGCCTGGGGCCTCCCCTGGTGGTGCAAGCGGTTGAGCGCTTAGCTGTGAAGCTGTCAGCAGCCTCTGCATAGCTGGTCCCATCCCAGCCAGCTGGCGGCAAGGGTCCCACATGGCGGGGCAGACCTCTCCTGTCTCGCCCACTGCTCCCCTCAGCAGTGTATTTGGTCAGTCTGCCTATTCTGTTCCCTGCTCTGTCTCTGGTGAATCCTCTCACCTTCCCACACATCTGGCCTGTACCCTGGTTCTTGTATAAAATAAACAAATAAATCTTAAAAACAAACAAAAAAAAAAACCAAACAAACAAACAAAAAAAACCCAAGCCTGCCAGCTAAGGGAATGCTGCTCTCAGGCATTTTTCAAGTGTAACTACTGATGGGTCTGATTTTACTTTTCCAGTGAAAAACCTGTATCAGGAGAGGGGGAAGGAAAAGGTCATCAAGGTGCCTGGGTTTGATCTCCTGGTCTGGCAGATGAGGGCCTTAGGATGCCTCAGGAGGAAATGTAGGGAGTGAGCAGACACTAGCAACAGGCTCAAAGAATTGTCCAGACATTAAAATTAATGTTATTTGCAAATAAAATGTTCAGACATCTCAACGACTCTATACGTTTTTTTAAAGAACATGACATTAGGGCCTCCCCGGTGGCGCAGCGGTAGAGCGCTGGGTTGCGAAGCTGCCCGCGGCCTCTGCGGCGCTGGTTCAATCCCTGGCTGCTCCCCGGCCACCGGAGGAGGGTCCCACATGGCGGGCAGACCTCTCCTGCCGCCCGCTGCTCCCCTCAGCAGTGCACTTCGGTCCTTCTGCCTGCTCTGCTCCCCACTCTGGCTCTGGTGAATTCTCTCACCCTCCCGCGCTTCTGACTGTACCCAGTGCATGTATAAACAAAACAAACAAACAAGCAAACAAATAAATAAAGAAAAACATGCCTCTATTAAAAAAAATAATAAAAAATAAAATAAAAATAAAGAACATGACATTAAATGCCAAAGGAACTTCTGTCTTTGCTATCAAATGGGTTATAGTCACTGAAAGAGCATACACTGAAAGAGCCAAAAAGGAGTCTGGGAAATTAACAGACAAAATTCTCCTGGGTCCTCTCAGATATCTTATTTGAAAAGATTTTTAACACTCATCGTTTAAAACAGTTAGTGATGTTTAACATTTAAAAAATTTAGGGTTTCTGCTTTTGGGAAGATGGAATAAATATACTTTCCCCTATTTTTTCCATTATGCACAAATAAAATGCCTGAAAAAATATATAGTTTATATACAGTATATATAAATTATATAAACAAAATATAGGGAGACATAGAATGGTGGTTAGAGGAAGCAGACCACCTATGACCTAGAGACAGGGGACCTAAGGAACAAAAACACAGCAGAATTAATACAATGTTGGTGTATCATATTCTGATTGTACTTTAATTTTGCAAGATGTTGACACTGAAGGAAATTGGGGGAGGTAGGTTGGGGAAGAATACAATTGATCTCTCTCTGTTATTTCTTATAATTAAATGTAACGTACAATTATCTCAAAATAAGCATTAACTAAAAATAAAATGGAAGTTCAGTAATACTAATCATTCTAAAGCAATACCCCTCTCCTCCAATCACTATATTGGTTGATTTAAGCTCATGAAGTTCTCATCTCTAAATTTCCTTTATTGAGGAAAAACAGCTATATCAACAATGATTAGTATCTATTTTCTAAGCATCAGAACTAGCTAGGCAAATGTAAGTTTGGGCTTTATGCAAAGTTTTCTGGTATGCAAATGTCACTACTAAAAGTTAAAATGCCTAATATGACTTCATGTAATCTTAGGTGCTGGGTTCAACTCATATCAATAATATGTAGAGCATATAAGGGTTGTAATACTATACAATTTTTATGAAAGAAGTAGGCCCACATTCACCACTAGATTATAGTTTATCCTTGCCTTGATACATTCCTTAGTGTCTAGCATATTTGCATGTAATATATACAAATCAAATTTGCAATAGTCATATTTTAAGCCTATAGACTATAGGTATAGTAGCTCAGAAATAAAAACAAAGTTATGAGATGGAGAGACAGAGATACAGAGAGAGACAGAGTGTCAGCAAGAAGCAGTAAGAAAATAAGAGGCAGGTGTGGGCACAGTCTGTAGTCCTGTCTGGGTACAACCACAAAAATGCGACAAGCCGTCAGATGGATGAGAGATGTCACAAACATCAAGCTTTTTCTTTCAAGCTAATTTTAAAATGATAAAGTTATATTAACAACTAAGGAGAAAAAAAGCAATGGGCGAAGCTTTTAAACGTATTTAAAACCTTTCAGTTTACAGATTAACCATACCCATAATAGATAGCTATTCTGCCAAATTCTAAGTTTTGTTTAAGGTCATTAACATTAAGCTGAATTAAAAACAACAACTCCAACTACGTGGAAGTTTAATTTAGCCTTACTTTCCTGGTATCAAAAATCACTATAACTTTCAAATAATGAAATAATTTCAGCCTTCTATTTAGCTGAGGTTATAAAAAAGATATCTGTTTTTACTTATTAAAGTCTACTTCAAAAGAGGGTTAATTTACTTTTTATAGTTCTAGATTTTGATAGTTATAAATGCTTCATTGGCAAAACCACACAGCTAACTGTGGGCAATTTATCTGCAATGGGGACATAATTTACATACACATACGCAAACCAAAAAGAGCCAGTTTTTCTGACCTTTTTGACAAAGTGAATAAACCATTGCTAAATGCAAGATTTTTACATTAAAATAAATAATAGTCTTAAAAATATTTGGCCTGTCCCAGGTGCAACTATATTTGGTAACTGATGCACAAATGTATCCACAATGTCAAGCATTGTCCTGGTATTTTTGCTCACTTTCCTCCATTTCCCTCCCATTTGTAGGCAGACTTCTTAAAATATTTCAAAACTCCTCACTAATCTTTACTATAATGGTAGAATGTTTATTAGCTAATAAAATTTAACACTCCATATTTAATGTCGATTAAATATGTAGGTCCAATAACTCTTACATTTTTTAATTTCTCCAACATTTACTAGTCAATTTCATATGAAATTATTCAGAACAGAATTTAACTTTGAAATACTTCAATACATAGTAAACTGACACAGAAAAGACTCTTTTTAAAAAAAAAAAAAGATTTATTTATGCATACAAGAGCTGGGGTACAGGCCAGAGATGCGGAGGCTGAGAGGATTCACCAGAGACAAGAGTGGGGGACACAACAGGCAGACTGACTGAAATACACTGCTGAGGGGAGCAGAGAGCAAGACAGGAGGGGTCTGCTGTGCCATGTAGGTTGCTTCTTGGCTGGCGGGGGATCGAACTCGTGCTGCAGAGGCTTCAGATTGCTTCATGGTGCGGTGCTCAACCCCTTGCGCCACAGGGAGGCCCAGAAAAAACTCTTTTAAGCTATAAAAATATGATGTACTTTCAAATGGGGAAAAAAAAATGAGGTTAGCCAACAGGCAATAAACAAAAGTTAACATCAAGTGAATGTTCCAGGCTTCCTCAAAAGATAAAAAACTAGGTGATGCAGTTTGAATGTGTGATGTTGTCTTCACTTAAATGTGTATCATTCAGCAACATGACTAGGCATTTATGTTTACTTACTTACCCTCTGTCTTGTATCAGAATTGACTCAAACTCATAATCTGCGAGATTTGTGGAGATTATGGAGATGATATGCAGTTTATCCCAAATAGGTATATTTTTAAAGAGTAACTAATTTCTCTCGTACCTATTAATTTGGACCTCTTTTCTAATGAAAGAAATTATTACATATTTAACAAATCAAAGTTTTAGTGCTTTAGCTCTATTCTGAAAACTGGCTGAGTAATTTTATATTTTCAAAAAAAGTTATATTTTTATGTTAGTGTTGTTAACTTTACTAAAAAGAAGGGAGAACAAAGGTAGAAATAATGGTCTTTTGGCCCATTTGTGGGGCTCTGACAGGAAAGAGAACTCAGGCTATTACATTAAAGCACATGGACTGCTTATTCAGCCCTGATCCTCAAAAGGGAAACAGAAACTTTTCTTTTATATGAATGATGACACAATTGTTTATTTACTAATAAAGCAAACATATATATGTGTATATACATACATATAAACATTCTTTGGGATTCAAGTTAATGAAATTGAATTAATCTAGAATAGAAGTGATTGGTAAGGAAATTTAACTCTATCTTAAATTACAAAGTAACAGAATTTTAACCCTTAGGAAAGAGAAAGCCTGACAAACAGATACAACTAATTTTTGATTAGCACATTATGTACTTGCTTCTGATTTGAAAATAATGTATTTTCTAATTTCAAGTAAACATACTTTTGAAATCTTATTCAACTTTCTCATATTACCACAAGTTCCCTTTAGCCTGCAATGAAAATTACATAGGTAAACATTAGTGTAACTAGATACAAGGGAACATAATTTCTGAATCAGGAAATCTAGTTGAGATTTAAAGTATGATTCTGTATGATATGGTAAGTCTAAAATTAATCAGAAACTTTTATAATCATATAATCTAGGAAATTAATTCAAATAACATATCTACATAAAATAATTTGCAAAGCTACAGGATATGGAAATATCATAAAGCCCATATCTAGGTGCATTTAGTTCTTTTTGTTCTCTTTTAACCTACTACCTATTAAGTGCCAGGCCCTGGGGCAACACCCTGGGAATCCAGTCAAAGACAATAAGACTGACTACAGAGGAAGAAGCTGTAGGCTAGATATGATGGCCCAAGGGAGTACTCTTGGAAGTTAGCACACTGGGGTCAGTGAAGGTTTTCCAAGACAGTCAGCCATTTTGGGGTGGGATGGGACAGGGGTATAGTTTATGGATTATTGTATGTGAAAAAGCAAGGAAGGAAATTCATGGAGCACTCAAAAAGCTGCTCGTGAAAATGACCAAAATTTAGCTTCAATGTTATGAGGAAATACATAACATTATCACAACACTGATGTGTGCAAAAAATTCACAAGTTTAGTTTACATTATTAGACAGCAAAGGAAGTTACAGCTTTTAAACACCCATCTCCATGATACCAACTTTACTTCCCAGGTAGCATGACCTCTCGATACATTTTTATACTGCATCTAACGTTAACTAGTAGGGACTTTACAAATATCACTCTGTATATCTTAGTGCCATGAGTATTATGTGATGATTGAAAAGCAAGTTCAGAGAGCAAGTGTGAATTAAGATTATTATTATCATAACATGTTTAAGCAGTTATTTTTTTCTATATCAAACAGAAAATAACAACCACCTAAGGTGTTACTCCTCACTTGATAAATTACAACACAACCAACAATACCAATGGATACTGGATGATGCTGAAAAAAAAAATTCAGTCATGGTAGTCATGGCAGCAGGATGGGTTAAAATATGGGAGTTACACATACAAATGAAATACATGAAGAACTAAAAAGCAACAGTTCTCAGTGGAGCGCAAGTATTAGGGTAGGTAGTAGAAAACTATTTTTTTAAATAGAGATTACTGTATGTCCAATAAAAATGATAATTTGCCAAAATGTCTTCTGAAAACAGAAATGACTATTCATTTGTACTTTGACCAGTTAGTTCTGTTTTCTTGAGAACCATTTCCATTTCTCCTCACCTGAAAACTTTTTACACACACACATACACACACACACACCCAGTAAACAGGAAAATATGTATTTTCTTAAATGTCACTGAGACGAGAAAGAAAACCAAATAAAATATATTTTCATTTTCTATCTTTTTCAAAGTTTGATAGTACTATTGCTGTAAACACTGTCAGTGTGAAAACACCCTGCTGACAACTTATTTTCAAGAAGTCTAATGTTTCTGAGAGATGTTGATTTTTCATTTTCCTACTATTTATGCTTTCTCAAATTTTTCTGTGTCTACCAACTAATTAATGAACAAAAGAAACGATTCCTAAAAGTACAGTCTTTCATTTTAAGAGTTTGAAAAATATGCTATTACTTCCCAATAAATTAAATCCCAACTAATTAAATCAAGAATATACTTTGCACTGAATATGTACTAAGAACAACTGTGACTGGCAGGCAGATTATCATAACTGACTTAAAAAACAAACTATTTATTCCTAATTATAATATGAGATCAATCAGCTTATATACTCTTTAGGAAGAATGAGTGTAAATCTATGACTGGTGGCAAAGAGGATCAATGGAATTAGTGCCAGGATCCAAAGAAGACATAGACAAATAGAATTTTATATTGTTTTTTACCCCTCCTCTTTTTATGACTAGCTAGCTAAAAGGAGGTTAGACAAAGTATTGTCATTTGCAGAACAAAGTAATCTACAGACATATTTTTTCTTGTCATTAGGACTGGCTTGGGGTAGACCAATAAATTCCATTAACAATTTTTTCTTTACTTTATTAAAATACTGAGTTTATTTCACATGTATATTTTTGTCTCCCCACCATTTCCATTTGTCTGACCACCACTACTCCTATGTCCTATCATAACATTCCATACATACTTAAAAACAAGTAAAGGGTGGAGTTCCATCTTTAAAAACTAAACAGGCATTTTGGACAACACATTCTTGGCAATGAAACCTGGACAACATTTATCAGACACGGTAGGGAAAGTTCTCACTCTGCATTATAAAAAGGACAGCCAGATATCAACTGTTACAGAAATGAAATAAGACGGAAAATTTTTAACAAACTGAACTATTTTCTTTTTTTTATATATTTAAATATTTTATTTTATATAATTCTTACATCTTTTTTCATCTCTGCACAATGTATGCATTTTTGTTTTGGTTATATTCCCCATACAATTGCACCTCCCCCCTTAATTTGACTCTAGTCCTTCTTTCCCCATCCCTAGCCCCCCGTAGTGTGTCTCTGGTTTATAGTGGCTTATTGATTTTGATTTTTACTTTGTATTGATTAGTCTTTTTTCTTAAAGAGATTTCCTCCACTGCCAGAGATCTTGAATAGCCTCCTGATCAGTCATTCGGAAGCTGTTCTTCACATAATTGATGAACTGGGCTTCCAAATTGGGAAGAGAACCACCTTTCTCTACTCTTGCTTGCATTTTTGCTTTAATGTCTTCTACAGAACTAGGTCCTTTTGGTGGCTTAGGAGTTTTTTCCTGTTTTTTGAAAGATTCTTGACCTTTTGATCTTGGTATTAGGGTTTTGAGTCTTTTCCATTCTGGTTTGACTTTTGTGCATTTTTGGCTGGAATATCTTGTATAGATTTCTTTACAGGTGCTTTTTCTTCAGCTTCTTCGTCATCAAAATCATCATCATCATCATCATCATCATCATCATCGTCATCATCATCATCATCATCATCTTCATCAGCAGCAAGTTTTACTTTTTTCTGTGGAATCTTGCTACCACTTCCAGGTGCAGAATGCTTCTCAGATATACTCAGGAGTTTCACATCCTCCTCCTCTTCATCTTCTGATTCCACATCTTCCTCCACAGCTACTAAGTGCTGTCCACTAATATGCACAGGCCCTGAACCACACTTCAACCGTAAGACCACAGGTGGTGTGATTTTAAAGGCCCCAAGGGAAACCGTTGGCTGTACAGACATTTTCAAAGTTGCAAGTGTTACTTTAATAGGATTGCCTTCATAATTCATTGCTTCTGCTTCAACAATGTGTAGTTCATCCTTTGCACCAGCCCCTAAACTGACCGTTCTTAAAGATAACTGGTGCTCATTTTCATCATTATCCACTTTGAAGTGTTAATCTTTGTCGGCCTTTAGTTCACAACTGAAGGAGTTCTAGGGCCTTAGAGGGCTCATGTCCATGTCCATCGAATCTTCCATGGGGTGGTGGCACGCCCTTAGGTGGGAGAGAAGGAGGGTGGATTTAAATGACTACTGTTCCGATGAACAACTGCGCAGGACAGAATCACACCAGGGACTCCATTAACAATTTAATCTCAATTCTAAATCCTACTGTTTCCAGGACCTACCTAAGTTGGCTAGTGTATATGTCTTCATTTTGATTGAGGTTGAGCCAAGTGTGGGGCTAGCTGAGAGGGCGTACAATTCACAGAAAGACACATTCCAGCAAATAAGTGCAATAAATATTATTTGTGCTACTATATAAGGAACATGGGTTTCTGTGGAGAGGCAAACGCTGGGCAGGTCCATATTAACTATACATGCCCTTAAAATGTCCTCTCTATGAAAGGACTTGTTTGGCTGGTTTAATATTCATTTAAAATGCTTTTTTTTTTTTAAAAGATATTTTCCATATACTCTTTTTTTTTTGGATTTTTTTTTTTAAAGATTTATCTTTCTTTATACAAGCACTGGGTACAGTTAGAAGCGCGGGAGGGCGAGAGAGTTCACCAGAGCCAGAGCGGGGAGCAGAGCAGGCAGAAGGACCGAAGTACACTGCTGAGGGGAGCAGCGGGCAGCAGGAGAGGTCTGCGTGCCATGTGGGACCCTCCTCCGGTGGCCGGGGAGCAGCCGCGGATTGAATCGGCGCTGCAGAGGCTGCGGGCAGCTTCGCAACCTGGCGCTCAACCGCTATGCCACCAGGGAGACCCTTAAAATGCTTTCTGAATGAATGTTACCCCATTTTCTATCTTCCTAGGGAAAGACTGTTCTCTTCTTTGTGCTGTGCAAGTGCTTTTCATACTGACATGTTTGTGACTGTCTCTACAACTAAAATCTCAACTACTAGAATATATCAGTTCTTTCATCATTAATCTTTATTTTTGGGTGCCAAGTAGTATCTGACATATGTAAGGGACTCTACAAATGTTTGTTAAATTAATGAAAAAATATTTATTCCTACTTATCAGATATATAAAGAAATGACTGTGCAGAAAAATAGATAAACCATGCCCTTATACAACTGATTTCCCATGTACTTTTTTTTTTTTAAGATTTATTTATTTATTTATTTATTTATTTATTTATTTATTTATTTATTTATTTATTTATTTATACAAGCACTGGGTACAGTCAGAAGCGCGGGAGGGTTAGAGAATTCACCAGAGCCAGAGCAGAGAACAGAACAGGCAGACTGACGAAGTACACTGCTGAGGGGAGCAGCGGGCGGCAGGAGAGGTCTGCGCATCATGTGGGACCCTCGCCAGTGGCTGGGGATCGAACCGTCATTGCAGAGGCTGCGGGCAGCTTCACAACCCAGCGCTCAACCACTGCGCCACCAGGGAGGCCCTTCCCATGTACTTTAATGTAGGAATCTGGGAACAGTGTAAATCTAAAATAAGGGATAAGGGCTGGGAGGAATGAAAGCTCTGAGGGTAAGTGTCCATGTGAAGGAGAATCTAATATACACTATGCAAAGATTTAAGAGGCATGATCCAATGGATTTTGGATCTAAGAAGTTTAGATTTAAATCCTGGTTTTGCTACTTATTAGCCATGTGACTGGGGAAAAATTGAGTCCATGACTCGTTTCTATAAAATAGCGGTGTTAGTAGTAGCTATAAGTACTACACAGATTTCTTATGAGAATGAAATGAATGAACTGATGTAGAGTTCTTAAAGCAACATCAAACGCATGAGTGTTCAAAGGTGAGAACAGTCCATATTTCTGTTGCTATTCCTATTATAAGAGTTATGTTATCAGTCATTTCAAATTATTGCCTACTGTCCAGCAAAATTGGAATTACTTAGTGTTATTTATTCAAGACCCATTTTCATTTATCTCCTAAAAACCAATAAGAATTATATAGGTCATTAGGAGTAAATAATGCTTTTTTTCACTCACTCATATGCTCATTTGCATAAAGTCATCTTTGCTTTGTGATACTTTATACTAGCTGTGTGTGACTCTACAGGCGTACACTCTTCTTAGTCCTCTCCACAGCTCCAGGATAAATATGACCATTTCAGTCTTCAGAGGAGGGTAATAAAACAACCATTTCCATGCCACTCATGCATGAAAAGGCTAAAACACAATTCAACTGGCTTTAAAGTCAGCCTGTTCTTTTCTCCTTAGCTACTTTCCTAAAGGGAGGATGGGACTCATCATTTGGCTACTGGAAAGAAAGATCCTGCAATTATTCTTGGAGGAATCAAAGCATGATAAGGGGAAGTGACCAATACTGACAGAGGAAGTTGTCTCATCTACAGGATTAGATGAGGCCAATAACAAAGCATGTAATTTGGCTCGTGATACAGGAGATTATGCTTCACCATCTGTTCAGAGAGATCAAGTGCTAGGCAGTTTGACAAGGTATGATGGAGCAGCAGGGGCGGGGTGGTGGTGGTGTTAAATTTAATTGCAAAAAAGTTCCTGGTGATAACAACAGTTAGAGCCACCTCTATACCTGTGCCTGTAAAATAGCCATTAGCCCATGTGGACTATAAATTTATAAAAATAAAGTTTATAAATTGAAAACTACAGCCCCCCCTTAGTTGCATGAATCACATTTTCAGTATTCAGTATGGCTACTGACTATCATCCTCAACAGTACAGGTATAAAATATTTCTTTCACTGCAGAAAATTCCATGGGACTGAGAATTTGATACTCAGGATGAACACCACACTCCTTTAAAAAAAAAAATCAATGTTTAATTAAGGTAAAATTTGGAAACCACTGTTAGGTATTCCTTCCATAGTGCACCCAACACCAAGTCACCCATCGTCTACCACCATAGTCTTTCAGCTCCTTTGTTAGGCTTATTCCCAGGTATTTAATTTTTCTGCTACAATTGTAAATGGGATAGTTATCTTAATTTCTTCCAAGTCAAACTGATTGTTTGCATGTAGGAAGGCCACTGATTTTTGTGTATTGATTTTATAACCTGCTACTTTATTAAACTGTTTTATTGTTTTAATTAATTTTCCATGGACTTTTTAGGGTTCTCTCCATGTATTATTACATCATCCGCAAATAATGATGGTTTTACTTCTTCTTTCCCTATTTGGATTCCTTGTATGACTTTTTCTTGTTTAATTGCTCTAGCTAGGAGTTCCAGTTTTATATTGAAAAGCAGTGGTGAGAGTGGACTTTCTTGTTACAGATTTTTTTTTTTAAAGAGTTATTGTATTTATGTACGCATGCAAGAGCTGGACTGCAAGCCAGATGTGCTGGGGTGGGGGAGGGGGCAGTGAGAGGATTCACCAGAGACAGAGTGGGGAGCAGAATAGGACTGACTGAAATACACTGCTGAGGGGAGCAGTGGGTGAGACAGGAGAGGTCTGCTGACCCATGAGGGTTAGCTCCCTGGCCAGGGATGGAACTCATGCTGCAGTGGCTGTGGATATCTTCATAGTACTGAAACTTAACCCCTTTTGCCACCAGGGAAGCCCCTTGTTCGAGATCTTAAAGGGTAGGTCCCCACCATTTTTTTCACCATTAAGAATGATGCCAGCTGTGGGTTTGTCACATATGGCTTTCATTATGTTAAGTTATATAGAATGACTATATTTCTAGTAGAAATTATAAATTTGTAATTCAAGGGATAAATCCTGCAACAAAAATTCAATAATAAAAATTCTACCAGAACTTACAAGAAAATACAAAGTCAGAGAAGAAAATAAGAGGAAAAGCTGGGACTGATCTTAGACCATCTTAGGCTTGAATTCTAGCTCTGCTAGTTATTATCTATTGTATCTGTAACAAATTGCTTCAATTTTTTTTTAAAGATTTATTTATTTATATAAGAACCAACATACAGGCCAGATGCGTGGGAGGGTGACAGGATTCACCAGAGACAGAGCCGGGAACAGAACCAGCAGACTGCCAAAATACACTGCTGGGGGGAGCAGCGGGCGTGACAGGAGAGGTCTGCTGCACTTGTGGGTCCCTCGCTGGCTGGCTGGGATTGAACCAGCCCTACAGAGGCTGTGGACAACTTCACAGTGCTGCACTCAACCGCCTGTGTCACCAGGGGAGGCCCAATTTTTTTTTTTTTTTAAAGTTGATGGGCAAGTCTTTCTTTTGTTTTTGTTTTTTTAAGATTTATTTATTTATACAAGCACTGGGTACAGTCAGAAGCACAGGAGGGTGAGAGAATTCACCAGAGCCAGAGAGGAGAACAGAACAGGCAGACTGACGAAATACACTGTTGAGGGGAGCAGCGGGGGCAGGAGAGGTCTGCGTGCCATGTGGGACCCTTGTCCAGTGGCTGGGGATTGAACCGGTGCTACAGAGGCTGCGAGCAGCTTCGCAACCCAGCGCTCAACCACTGCGCCACTGGGGAGGCCCAAGGGAGGCCCAATTTTTTAAACTTTAACTTTCTCGTATCTAAAATGGAGCTCATACCTGTCCTATCTATGGCATCATTGTAAAATTAAGTACATATATTCACACATACAAGCCACAAAGGCAGACATATACATACAAAGCTTGGCACAAAACCTAGCTATTATTTAAAGTATTAGTTAATATTACTAGATACTTGATATTTCTAAAATCGATAAAGATTAATTTGATTTTCTTAATGAAAGAGAGGAAGTCTTACAAAAATTTAATTTTCTTTGTATTTACTATAGTCTATCTCTTTACATAACTGGGCTTTAGAAATTTCATACCTTTACAATAAACTTACTCTTAAGAATTAATGAAATAATCTGATATGGAGAAAAACATTGATGTGTAAAAATATTTATCACACATTTTATTACAGTAAAATATAATAAGGAACCTAAATTTCTTATAAAAAGTATAAAAATAAATCATGATAGCTATACATTTTGTTATACTGAAATATAATAAAGCACCTAAATTTCTTATGAAAAGTACAAAAATAAATAATGAAATAGCTATACAAAAGGTAACATTAAAACCCTCATTAAAAAATATGTTTAGACCCTTTTATTATTGAAACAAAAGAAAATCAAATACATGGGAATAAATCTAACAAAAGAGGTAAAGGACCTATACAAAGAAAAC